GCAGTCTACTGTTGATGCACATTTGGGTTGTTTCCAGCTTCTGGTTATTGAAAAAAACTGCTGTGATAAAAGTTCTCATATGTGTTTCCTAGTGCACAGAAGCACACGTTTCTGCATGGTGTACACCTGGAATGGAATTGCAAGGTCAGGGGTGTGCATATCAACAGTAAAAGAACATCCGTGCTTCGTGTTGTCAGTCTTTAATTTTTGCCAATCACGTGAATATAGAATGATATTTTATTGTTTTAATTTACATTCTTGTGATTAGTGATGAGGTTTAGCATTTTTTCAAATATTAATTGGCCATTTGATTTTCCTCCATTGCAAGTTGTGTGTTCAAGGTTTTCCCCCATTTTTCTATTAGATTTTGAAATTATTTTTACTATTGTGTCAGATTTCTCTATATATTCTCAATACTAGTCCGTTGATTATGTATTGTGAACATCTACTTTGTGCCTTGTGTCTTTATTCATTGGAGCCTTTCTTATTTTGAAATAATTTTAGACTTAATAGAAAAGTTGCAAAGATAATACCCTTCATCTAGATTCCCCTCGTGTTAACAAGTTTTATAACCACATTACAATTACCATAATCGGGGCATAAACATTAATATCATGTTACTAAGATTGTAGACTATTTGAATTTCACTTAATGTCCTTTTCCTATTCCAGGATCCAAACCAGGACCCCATGTTGCATTTAGTTTTTGGATCTACTTAATTATCTGACAATCTATGGTAGTTCCTCATTTTTTCCTTATTTTTCATGACCTTGATACTTATGAGTACTGGTCGGGTGTTTTGTAGAACGTCCCTCAGTTTGGACTAGTCCGTTTTCTCATGAATCAAATTTAGGCATCTTGATAAGACTGCTACAGGAGTGATGTGTTCTTCTCAGTGTATTAAAGGGTACATGACGTCAGCATCTTATTACTGGTAATGTTAACCTCGATGACTGGATTAATGTGATGGTATCTGCTGAGTTTCTCCACTATAGATTGCTATTTTTACTTTTGTAATTGATAAATACGTTGGGGAAGATGCTTTGAGACTCTGATGCTATATTTCTCTTCAAATCTCTGCCCCAAATTTGTGACAATTATTACCATGGTGATTGCTTAAAGGTGATTTTGTATTTCCTTTGCTCCACTTGTTAATTGGAATTCTTCTGTAAAGAAGAGTTCACTCTTCTCTTCCATTTATTTATTAATATCAATATAGAGTTATGGGTATTAATTTCATTCTATGAGTAATAATTCAATAATATTATTTTTGTCATTTAACTATTCCAGCTTTTCACCATTAGAGCTAAATCATTGGCTCCTGTGTCTTTTTGACATGCCCCCATCCTTTTCAACTACTTGTTTATTTTCTGGCTCCACAAGATGTTCCAATATCATCTTATAGATTCATTGCACAGCCTTGGAATGAACCACTTCTTCATGGAGCTCTGGTTCCTCTTACTGGAGAAACAGTATTTAGCAACAAAGATCTATGTGCTAGGGGTTATCATTGCTACTCTCATAGGTCCTCTCACTGAAGTGTGTGTGTATGTGTGTGTGTGTGTGTGTACTAATGCACACATGCACATCTATATTTATTTCTACATCTATCTGACAATATTAAAATTATATTCACCCTAGTGCCCCCCATTCCATTTTAACACCATACAACTCATTCTAGTTTTCCCCACTTCCTTAGTCGTAACTTCTCTGATAGTGTAATTAGTTTTGGATGCTCACAATAAGTTAGCACATGTTCAGTGGCTTAGAACTCTATTTGATTCTCTGTTAGTTTCGGTAGGTCAGAGTATGCACAGAACAGCTGAGTTCTCTGCTGCTTGACTGACCAGGATCTGCTGCCAAGCTCCCTCAGGTTGTGGGCAGATTCATTTCCTTGTGGCTATAAAGTCACTGTAGTTGGCTTTTCAAAATCTGGCTATGGAAAGAGTCTACTGCTTTAAGTCTAGACTGGCTCTAGACTCTTTCAAAGCCTTGCCTGACTGGTCAGTCCCATCCAGGAGAATTTCTCTTTTGATCTTAAAGTAACTGATTAGGGACCTTAACTACATATGCAAAATCCTCACCTTGGCCTTATAAAAGTAACCTAATCAAAGAGTGACATCCCATCACCTTTGCCATATTCTGTTTGTTAGAAGCAGTCACCCGGGCAGCCTTCACTGAAGGGAGAGAATCTGTGATTCACCAAGGGTCACTTTAGGGTATGTTGGCCACACACTGTGAGAAACCTGCCTCTTGTTATCACACATTCATTGTTCACACCTCGTGTACCCATAAAATGACATAGAATTGCTAACTTATAACTCTGTGATGCAGATTTACTAATTCGTGTATTTGCACCCAGTTCTTTTTGCCCTAGCCAGCCAACATACTGAGTTCTGGTTACTTAGGTTAGTTCTTTTCTTCCCCTTTCCTTTCAGTGTGCTTATGTACTCATTTGTAAGATATGTTCAACTGTTATTATTTCCCATATTTGGTCTTTCCTCCCCACCCCACTCTGGTTATTTATTTTGGGGGGTATTGAAAGCTTTACTAGGGTTCTAAAAGTCAAAGCTACATAAAGAGGGGTGCTCAGAGAAATGTTGCTCCTTCCTCATCCCCAAGAACCTGTTCCAGTTCCTCTCTCCTTTCCAATTCTTTTTACCCATCCTCTGTAGGTAAACAATCTATAGTTTGATTTATTCTTACTGTATTTTGCACAAATGAGCAGATAAATGTGTTTTCTTATATTCCCTTCTTACATGAAGGGCAGCTTACTATAGATACTCTTGGCCCTTTGCCTTTTTTTCACTTAAGGGTCTCAAAAACTTCTCCCAATTAACTCATGGTTTTCCTAGAGCTTGTCTTTTTTTTTTTTTGTTTTTGTTTTTGTTTTTGATGTGCATAGACCTCCATTGTGTGGATGTGCCATAATATTTTCAACCATTCTCCATTTCAACTGGTTTGGTTTTTAGAAGTCCACCTAGAAAACAAATACTAAAACTTCAGGCGAATACAGAAATTTTAAGCACTCAGGTTGTTTCCAGTATTTCACATTTACAGACATTGCTGCAATGAATAACCTTCTGTCTACAGCCATGCCACCCTGAACACGCCCAATCGCGTATGATCTCGGAAGCTAAGCAGGGTCAGGACTGGTTAGTACTTGGATGGGAGACCACTGAGGAATACCAGGTGCTGTAGGCTTAAAAAAATAATAATAATAAAATAATAAATAAGTAAATAAATAAAAAAGAAACTTCTGGTCAGTCCAAATTCAAAGGAGCTAGATATAGATAATATATCTAGCCTATAGATAATATATCTTAGGCCACGTGTCAAACTGTGAAGCTGTGCTGTGCCCATCCCCACAGACCACCTTCGCTTCTGGCTCACCTGCTTTTAGACTCCATTCAGCCATTGCCCTTGCGACGTGATCAAGCTGCTAGCTTCCTCGGCCATTCCAGTCACCTTGTAATTAAGTCTGGTAAACATGCTTCTCAGAGAAATCATTCACCTGCCATTCCATGTCAAGCTGTCTCTTCCAAAGTCAACTTTCATGACCTTATTTTCATCTTTGGGGTGATCCTCCTCACTCCTGCCCCCAATTTGTCAACTCAGCTGAGAGTCCCTGAGATGATAAAATCTGTCTTGAAACAGGTTATATAGTTCTAGCATGCTCATCTTCCCCAAGGATTCATTAACATGGGAGTTATTCTTTGAGCTTCCTATTCAAGCATTCTGAATGTTTACTGGCCTATTTAAACCAGAGCTCCACAACAGGGGGCATTAAAGAGCACTGGAGAGGCCATACTGCCCTAAAATGTTTTTAAAGATTGTGTCTGCATTTATACGGGAAAAGAACCTTTGAGAATTCACCAATTTAGCTTTAAAAAGGCTAAGAATCAGTGTATTAAATTATTAAATTATATATTAGTGTGTATATACATATATTTTATATATTAAATTATATCTACTGGGAAAAAGTATTGGCTAGGAGTTACTCTCAAATTCACATTCACTTAAATGGTTATTTTAATGTACTAATTTTACACAAGTTTTTAAAAACATAATTAAAGTGCATATTAAACACATCTTTTGGACAAAACTAAACAGCAAACATTTTAAGACACACCTAGTTTTAAGACTAATGACTATAAAGAAAAAATGAGAGAATCTGACAAATGTGAAGTTAAAGGACATTTTATTTACTGACAGATTAAAAACCGTAACTCCAGGCAGTGCAAAATGCACCACTGAACCCAATTACAAAGAACTGGTGTTAATACACAATGTTTAAGCAATGCTACACTTATTTTTGGCAAAGTGCTGTATTGTTTAGTCTGTGTATAAAACTGACCAGCTATGAACTAATCAGTATAAAAAGTTCTATAAAAACAAAAAAATTAGACAGTGGCTCAAGAAAACAAGCTGCCATTTATGCATAGAATGATATACAGTATATAACCTAACCAAATGTCCCTTTTTAGTTTTCAAGTTGTTGGAAAAAATGTGTGTCCAGAAACACATCAAGAAGGCACACAGTACAATCTTCAATACTCTTCAGTCTCTATAACTGACACCCTGCCCTTGAAAAGCAAATGTGTTCACAATTTTACTTGAGGAAAAACCAAAGCCACTCTTTTCTTTAAATAACACACAAATAATTGATTAAAGTTCCAAACCTCTGAAGGAAAATACAACCAAAAAGCAAGCAAAATCACTCATACACATCAAGCCTGGAAACATACACATCTAACCTCCCCAAGTGCTGGTTTGGTTTTTAGAAGTCCATCTAGAAAACAAATACTAAAACTTCAGGCAAATACAGAGCAAAACTGGGCATTTAACAATTACACAATTTAAAAAAAGTGTTGTAAGGAAAATTCTCAACAATATACATTATCCAGTTAAGCTGCCCTCCTATGAATAGTAACTTCTCCCCCATAAAAGGTACTGTTGCAAACAGAAAAAGATACCTTCATCTGAATGCTTTTTTGGTGTCAAATTTCAAGTGAAATTGGTGCATGGCAAGGCTGACACCATTGCATTATGTTGGTTTTCTAAATAAAGCATTTTAAATAAAATTTTAAGCATTAAAGTAAGTGGATAAGGAAGCCATTTACAATGCATCAACATGGTTGATGGCAATAAAACCATCCATGATAGTAACTCAACTTTTAGAAGAATTTAAATCAGTATGTATGGGCCTTATAAAATAAAAAGATAATTTTAAGGTAACATTACAAACATATGCTAGTATCTCCAGGACAAGGAGCAGTCTCTTAACTGATTCTAAAAACAAAAACTAATACTTGGAAACTCTTATTAAACTTTCTCCACTAATCTATTTAAATTTAAATATCTACTGGCAGGAGTCCTTCACTTTCTTTTTTTGTTTCTAACTCAGAGAAAATGAGGATAAGATTTTCTTCTTTGCTCTTTTAAGAGGATATAAAGACAATATATTTTCTTAAAGAGGAAGGGAAATAGCAAAGACAGATTTGACAAAGATACAAAGATTACAAACCAGTGTACTACACAAATTTGAGAAGTAAAAACAACAGGCAATGCTGAACGGCCCCCTCAGGTTTTAAGTACACTGTCTTCTCACTAGAATCAAGGTACTGATACAACAGAGAAGGTATGTAAACAGGAACAGTTTGCATGGGAACTAGAAAAATTAACAGAAAATTAATATAAAAAAAGCTCCCTGGAATAGGAAGTTAAAAATCCAATCACTTTGCACCTTCTGTAAAAAATCTCCCAAACAACCATATAAATGCATTGCCACAAAAGATAAAATAATGGATTATTAATCTTCAACTTACAGTGCAGTACATAATTCAATTAGTTGAGGAAGAAAAATAAGCATAAACATTATAAAATGTTTTATTAACAAAAATACAAACTTTGAGAAACATGGTGCATTATAAAAACTAAGAAACTCATTCATGAGCACTGCTTGTGTGCACCACATATTCCAGACATTTTCCAAGTAACATTCTATATTATCAGTTTAGAAACAATCAGAGCACTAAATTCAGAGGGGTCTTATTTCTCACTGCCTGAATTTTTAAGGATATGCACTAAGCACATTGTAAACCACTAATATTTATAACAGCAAGTAATAATTAACTTAGAATAAGTTGCATTTTGGCTGTGTTTCAAAGAATACTTAACAGGTCAACATCATTCTGTGTTACTACTGGTCTGAGACATAGTAGATGCCTAACAAACATCTAATGTCCAAGAACTTCAAATGAACTATGCAACCACTTTCTTCAATTCTTGCATGTGCCAAGTAAGACAGAAACCACAGTATGATATCACAGACAGTGTGGTAGCCCTTACCCTGAAAAAGCATCCCAAAGACTGAAAATCATTTGTCTTCCAGGAACAAAACATAAAAAACTAGGTCTAGATAGGGAAAACAAAAAGGCAATAACTGATGCAGAGATATAAATGTATTTAAGGTATCATGAAATCTGAAAAAAATAGTACGAAAGGATCACTGCAGTTTTATATAGAAATCTGTTCATGCTGCCAAATTCTCATGACTGAACTTTTGTAGCTCGTGAGGTACTAAAAACTTTCATGTAATATATGAAAAAAGAGACTCCTATGTATTCAGAGGCTTATATCCAGAAAACACTTAGCTGGTCTATTTTCAAGTTACCAACATATGACCCTATAACAGACGTGATGTAAAACATACACACCTTCATGAAAACTCTATCTTACCTCCCAACTCAGGTAAACACAAATAGTAACAAAATAACTTCTAGCTTAGTTTGACAAAACTTTACAGACTTGGCCCTTAATTAGAAGCAAATAAATAAAGGGGTAGTTGAAATGGAAGGGGAATAAGGAGAGAAGGGGTATCTAGACTCTTGTTCTAAAGAGATATTTCCTGGCACTTCATCAATGCCAGTGGAAGAACCACCTAACACCACCATCTAACTACGCTATCTGACCTCTTCTGACTCCAACATCCCAGTCTAGTTAGAAAAGAGCACAGCTCTTCATTTAATAAAAGGTCTCTCATGGTTCCCTGCACCAAGCTGCTGCAGGGTTACTGAGAAATAGAATAATACTTCACACAACTATATGCTGCTTTTCCTTTGAAACATTGTAGAGATGTGTACTTATTTAATTAGGGTTTCAGAGGAGACAGAAGAATAAGCTATTTGATTATGAAGGTGATGCTACTGCTCTGTCAGTACAATGTGCTTTGGATTGTAAATGTGCTTAACTAAATCTCTGAGGAAACTGGTGAGTGTGGATGGCTCAGCAAAACCTATCACAACTGCTAAAAAACAAAGTGACTGGCTAGAGGTTAAGAAACCGATTTTTTTCTGTGTCGTGTTAACTAGCCCGTGCGTGCAGTGCATGCTGCGCTCTGGCCCCATTAGCACCAACACTGAAGAACAGCTGTGGCAGAAAAATTGTCACAGGCCGAACCTCCAACACTGGGTTCAGTGGAGAGGCCCTTGGAATTTCACTCAAGGTTCAGTTCTGGATAGCCCCACTTCAAATCGGGATTCAGCCTTCACGACTGTGCGGAAGGTGACTACAACTGCTCCCCTGTTGGTGAGAGTAACAGAGGCCAAAGTGGTTACAGATTCTGCCTGAAACCCTACTTAAAACAAAAAATGAAAACTCAAGGAAGCCAACCTGCCACTCTTCATGCAGATACCATGAAAAGGATTTCCTCTCATCTTTGCCTGCCACTTGACAGGGCTGGCTCCAAGGCAGAGGATTTATTACTGCATCAGAAATACAAAGCCTATTGCTTTTCCCTTGAGCAGATATACATATGAAGTCGCTCAAGTGCCTGGACAAGTACTTCTGAATTTATAGCTAATGTGAGGTGGTGAGTGGGCAGAGTTGGCAGGAAAGAATCCAAACAACTTAAATAATGGACTAATGGGTTAGTTATGGACATACATTTTTTTCAAATACAATTTCACAGGTCAAATTTAATCCCTCTGCACAAGACAAGAGCTTTTGTCCCACAATACCTGTATTGTCTGTACCACGTCACACAGCCATGTAGGAATTACTGAATGCACTGTTCATTAACACTTAATGTACCTGAATTCCAAAATGAACTGCATGGCTAATGTGGAAAAAAAACCCCATACACACAGAAATATGTCAAGTTTTCTTTCAACAGCCATAATTCCATTATATCCATGGCAACTATAACCTGTTAATGCTCATGTTAGTGTGTAAAAATGTATTCATTATATACAGAAAAGATTATCAAGTACTGGTCAATAAAGTGTATGGCTGACCCTGAGAATAAACTTCTGTTTACTCAAAAGATTGATTAAGTAATACAAAATAAAACGAAACTGAAAGATGCCTATTCTTGTACTTGGGAAGAAACGTCTTTAGAATGCTAACTCATGTACACCTTAATAGATTTGAAGATATCCCCAAACATCAAACACTGTAACTGTATTGATATGTTTCCAAAAATATTCTGAAAAAATTTACAAAAAAAGTAAATGTTAAGAGCAAGGCATTATGTGATACACAGCATGTAAATCTGGTTTTTCAAGATAGTGTCTAAACACACTAATACAACTATGTGATTGGTCACCAACTGGCTGTAAAGAGACAGCATCTTCAGCATCCGAACACACATATCTACACACATGTACACAAACCAAGAGAAACCAACCAACTGAACTTGAAATTCTTAGTAATTGTACTGACGTGGGCAGGGCTGGTGGACAGCCCAGCCATTGTGCTTGACTTGCCGAGAGTGACAATCCCTGGTAAGATTTTGGCGACGAAGGCTATTTCTGTTCAGAGACTGTCTTTCACTATGTTCCTTTATCCATTGGGAAGGGTGAAAGCTCTTGGGTTGTTCCAGAAAAGCAGTATGAGCAGCAACAGTTGCAACATAGCAGTGAATGTGCTGCCCAATTTCATTTTGAGCTTCCACTCTGAAATAGAAAAAAAATGAGGATGTATTAAATAACAGAGTATATTATTAATGAAATTGAAAGTTAATTAGCAATTCAATTTGACATACTAATTTCTTTATAGTTGCTTAGTGTTTCATGGCTGACCATTTTGTGACCATAATGACTGATAATGGTAGAAAGAAGCCAACTTTCAACAGAAATATGCTATATAATCCACAGGTGGTTAATTAAGTCTACCATTTTTTTTTTTAATGCTCTACACTTAGAGTAACTTTCAATTACAAAGCAAACACATTTATATATAGTTTTCTGGGAGCATAACTAACATTTATTGAATATCTGCATTTGCCAACTGTTTTTGCAAATATTATGTATTTTGATTCTTACTATATCTTAAAAGAAAGTTTTACTAATCAAAAAGCAAAGGTTCAGAGATGTTAAGGTCACAATTATTGACTGACTCAACCAGGATTCTATCACAGGCCTTGCTCCAAGGACCATGGTTCTGAATCAGGGTGAATACTGATGCACTGTGCCAGCAGCACCTTCATAAACATTTGCTGTCTTTAAGCAAAATGGTCTAGGAAACAAGGTTTACTTTACATCTGTATTCAACAGAACATGTATAAGAAAATTCTACTCATTTAATAACATTTTTCTAGTAAGAAGCTACCTAATTATTACTTATATCACAACAAGACACATTTTAGAATGGCATTTTGCATAGCAATGTTATAAAGATCCCTGAAGAATACATAATCTTAAAATATGGCTGCAAACCATATGATTACTATGTTTTCCATATTAAAAGTTAATCAAATAGGATAGACCTAAACTATAAAAACACATTACATAAAGAGTTTTAAGATTTTTAAGGGTTATTTTACACAGGAAGGGTGGTTATATAGTTTGCCTATAATCACTAGGAAAAAACACTATTCTTTTAAAAACTATAGTGTTTTTAAAATAGTAAAATTAAAGCAGGTCATATTAAGAAACTAATAAAGAGAAGTTAAAGTAAAGACAGTGGTTTTTAAAAGGTGGGCACTTGAGTCCTTAGCCTCCCTGCTCGGACTGATAACACATATCACACGGTCTCAAAAGGAATATACTTACTCTGTGCCAGTGAGTCTTATAAGCAGCTTTTCCTGGCCCTACAAATGTTAAATGGTGAACTATTAAATCACTAGTAAAACTTAAAATGCTATTTAATTTTACCGTTAGGATGTGGTCAACTTCAACTGGTTTACTATGGGTCATTAAAGGCACATGTATTACTTAAGATTATGATAGCACAGAAACCATCACAAACAATATTTATTAAGGCTACAATGCAATAAAACGCACATTCTGAAGCTCATCTGTAATTATGAAGCACCTTTTTTTTATGTGTTTTGTGGTCATATCTCTAAGAATAGACAGGATAGAAATGATCTAATATTTGAAAGACATGATTTATTCACTGCTCAGAAAATACAGACATTTACTACATAGCCATCCTCCTAATCTGGATGACACCTAATTTCTAACATGATTGATTTGAGTGGGCCTTATTTGTAAGAATTTCAAATCCAAAAATGAGGATGTTAAAAAAATCCTAGTTATTATAAAACTATAATTTGCAGTACTTTATGTCCAAAAAGAATTCAGATAAAGTTAAATGTGATCTTTTGATCCATTATATATGTATTCAACTGCCCTACATATGAAAACACATAACAAGATACAAAAACAAACGAGATATAAGAAATGACATTCTCACTGCATCAAAACTGCAAACACATAACCAGATGTAGTGCAAGGTTCTGGACTGGATGCTGGTTTGGACAAACTAGATGAAATATTCTGGGCTCCACTGAGGAAATCTGAGTATCGTTTCCATAGTAGATGAAGTGAAATTTTACTTAAAAAAAAAAAAGTGGACATCATTGCCTAAAAAAGCAGATTATAAAGTAGTACATGCAGCTTGATTCCATTTAGGTTGAAAATGGTGTGTGTGTAGGTGTCACGCACATACACACATACAGAAAAACCCATCTGGAATGATATGCTTTACGGTCTTAAAGAGCATTCGGCTCTGGGTAGAGAGAATGTCACTTAAAACTTTTGCATATTTGTATTTTCTAATTTTCTGCAATGCATATGCACTGCTTCTATAAAAATGTTATTTACAAAGCTGCTGAATCTATGTATATATATACACACACTTTACTGAAAAGAAAATACACAAATGCCAGTAAGTTTAAAGTGACTATTAATCACGCTAAATTTTTGTACAGAATTCCTCAGAGGTGAGAATCAGGAAGAATTTTTAAAACTGCAGAAACTGATTTGAATCAACTATAAAGCAATTAAATCAATATCACCTCTAAAATACTGTATTGTAAATTTTTGTTGAAATGCCTGAAACACTGACCTCTTGATAAACTTATAGTGCTGAATAAAGTGCCAGTTTACCTAACATTTCCCATCAAAAATCTTACCCAGTAGAAAGCCTGGGTAACTATATAAGCAAATTATTTTTCTATTTGGTACAAGCAGATGTTTATCTTCATTCAAGATAATCTACAAATTGAGACTTCAGAGTGTAGTAAATTCCGATATGTTAACAAATGAATGAACTGCCTTGGCCTTCGTTTATATTTGGCAAACAGAAAATAGTAGAAGATAAACACAATGGTTTAGTGAGTACAGTTAGAGCCTAGACAATCCAAAAAGAGGCCCTTTAGATGACAGTACTAACAGCACCAACCATAGGAATATTCTGAAACACTCCAAAGAACTGAATTCATCTGTATTCTTGATAGGTAGTAAGGGAATTAAGGCAGTGCCAGCATCCCCCAAATGCTTAAACACCACAGGGAATCTTCCACTAATGTGCCTCATGTACTAGGAAGACTTTGAACTAATTAACACGGCCATGGGCTTTATCTGAGTGAGTGGGAGCAATCTTGAACACATTCCCTGGATAAAGGCCACAGAATGTCTCCAACTTCACTGACCAGGCCCTTTCCCTGAACCTTTCCAGGCCCTCAACCCATTTGCCATTGAAACAGAGCCTTTCAGACCACTTGGGAGGCCAATATAACAAAACATATTTTGCATGTGAAATCTTTGCTCTGTAAGGCAGAAAACAACTTTCTGAGCAAAACGCTTTGGTGAAACTGCCATTTTACTTCATGCTTAAGAACTCTCAAGTTTTTCAAGGTTAAGCGCCATTTGATGTGGCACAGCTAAGACTACTCGGAAAAAAATACGAGTTTTCTTTTAAACCGGACAATTCTTTTCAAATTTGATACACTCAAATAATCCCATCTGTAAAGTGCCAGCTATATTCTAAGATACTTAGCAGAAATGCCAGTCTTTTCTTTCCATTCAGGAGAATATTATAAATGAGATGGCTCTCCATTATGTAACTGGAGTGTGCTACAATTTTTCAGTCAGTATCTTATATTTGCATGTCATTTGTTTCCTACAAAATCATCCTCTTCTCTTAAGTGTTTACCATTTGAAAATCACTCAGCTACCTGCTTTTAAAAGGTACTGCAAAATGATAATATATGTGTATTTATATATACATATATATGTATACAGAGAGATTAAATGTGGTTAAATGTTAACAAGTGCTTTGAAGACAGTAATAGAACATGTTAAGAAGATACAGAACTTTTTTGAAAATCTAAAATGAACGAGTTTTTTATACCATCAACTGCCTTGTGCACTATGCACATACTTTTATAAATCTCTTTAACAAGATGACTTTTGCATCTTCCAAAAAATTAGCTTTGAATTATAGTAGAAATAAATAAAATGCAGCTAAACGGACTGCCTGTGGAGAGAGTAAAATACTTGTGACGTACCTGGTACTACTTGGGTTATGAAATTCATCTGTCCCACAGCTAGCCTCATTGAGACCAGAGCAGGAGTTATGTACGGCATAGACAGACATGCTAGGATGTTCGATGAGAAGGTTTTCCATAGGACTGGTTTCCACCTTGATAGTGGTTAATCCACCTGCAGTGAAACATGGGGGAGGGGTGATAAACCAGCTCTCCTCCATCGGACAGGATTCAAACTGGAGGAAGCAGGAATCACTTGTATCAGCCAAGCACTCAAGAGATGCAGGTAAACAGGAAAAGACAGAAGGATGCTCGGTAGGTGACCCTTCACTGATGTCTTCTTCTTCCTCATCTTCTGCTGCTGACAAACCAGTGCAAGTGTCTAGATTGGAGTCCACGTGCGTTGCTGATGTCCCACAAGAGGATGAGTATCACATTCAGAGTACAGAAAAAGAAGAGACAGTATTGTTAGTTAATGCTCACATACCTCCCTTTATTTACATCAGAAACAAAACCATTTATATTCACTCATAATGATTATAAAATAATTTCTGAGCATTGCGTGTGTATGGTATATAACCGTAGGGGATGGAGTACACTGGCTTTTTCAGGAATCATTTCAGACTGTTCCCATTCTACTGAGAAAACATATAACAAGCCATATGGGTTATTGCTTATCTAGTATGAGGGTTGTCTAGTAAAGTGCCCCTGATTTGATCAGGGAGTAAGTTGCAAAACTGAGAAGTCTGACGTCAATCAATTTCACCGACTGGTCATCTGGCACAGGATGTTTCCTTCCATTTTTTTAAGATAAATTCTTGTTTATTTACTTTTAAGGCTTAAAAACCTTCAAAGTTACTGATTTACTTATGCAAAACTGAGATGAAAGAGTTTCCACTTTTGTTGTGACGTTTAATGGCAGAGAATACCTTACCTATGAAGTCAACAAGAATCCATTCATCATCTTCTTTCTCACTAAATTCTGGTTCTTGGTTGGAAGAAGTATTGACTTCACCCACAAACAGTTTATTCAGTCTCTGGAACATTGTTAAGGCAAGATTGAGACTTTGGCTGGATGTCTTTATAGCTGAGATTTCAAAACCCTGTCTTCAGTCAGCCTGATGACACCGACAGGAGATTAAAGTGCACAAGGTGCTTATTCGACTTAGGGGAGAAGAGGAGTCATTATCCCTAAAAAAACAAAAACAAAAACAAAAAAAAACAGAAAAAGTTTATTTCAAATCAGCATCTTAGATAATGTGTGTGTGGTTTTAAAAGTACACACACAAACAAACTCTTAGAAGAATGCACATGCCTTAGCCTCCAGCTACGGCTGTCCTCTAAGAGTTGAACATAAGAAATGCAATATCTGTTATTTACAAAATATTATGAGTACTCAAATGCAACCTGTAAATCTGAAAATGA